AATCCCCCAATTTTTCTAGGTCACTTTGGACCCTATCCCTACCCTCCAGCATATCTACCTCTCCCCCCAGCTCAGTGTCTTCCGCAAACTTGCTGAAGGTGCAATCCATCCCATCATCCAGATCATTAATAAAGATGTTGAAGAAAACCAGCCCCAGGACCGACTCCTCGGTCACTCCACTTGATACCGGCTGCCAACTAGACATCGAGCCATTGATCTAGCTGGCTTTCTATCCACTTTATAGTCCATTCATCCAATCCATACTTCTTTAACTTGCTGGCAAGAATACTGTGGGAGACTGTATCAAAAGTGTTGCTAAAGTCAAGGTACATCAAGTCTACCACTTTCCTCATATCCAAAGAGCCAGTTATCTCATCATAGAAGGCAACCAGGTTGGTCAGTGCTTGGTGAATCCATGTTGATGGTTTCTGATCACCTTCCTCTCCTTCAAATGCTTCAAAATGGATTCCTTGAGGACCTGCTCCATGATTTTTCAGGAACTGAGGTGAGGCAGACTGGTCTGTAGGCTGGCAGGCTCATATAAGAAGGGCTGTGGGGCAGAGCAGAGTTCAGTAGCTGCCTGGAGCTTGAGGGGAGAAGACCAGTCTCCTAGCAGCAGGAAGGAGTGCCAGCACCTGGGACAGAGCAGTGCTGCATGCAGGGGTCAAGGGAGCTAGAGAGAGCTCCTGGCTGGCTGTTAGGGCCTGCAGGCTGAGGTAAGGGCAGAAGAGGGTTCTGGAGCTGTATGGGAAGCAGCCCTGGGACAATGAACTGCAGTTGCCACCGAGAATGTGTCTGGACAGAGATTGCAGGTCCCACAGAAGGGGGGAATATAGAGTGTGGCACAGCCGGAGGGCAGAATCACTGAAGAGGATGCCAGAGTCCTGGGAGTGGTGCGAGTTCTGGAACAAAAACGATGGTGGTGGGGCACCACTAGAGGAGGGCACCCTGGTGAGCAGACCTAATTCCCATGATAGCCGGCAGGAGGCGCCAGAGTGGTGAGTGAAACCCGTCACAGTCCCAATTTGGGATAGGAAAATTTGTCAAAATCTCAAAAAAATGTGCAGGACAATAAAAGCATATCCTGCCTCACTCTATCCAGCACCTGATATGGATTCTGTTTATACATCAGGCGCCAACTTCTTAGTGGTTCTGAGCATCTGTAACACCCATTGGGAGGCAGTTCAGCCTAGTGGCTAGAGCACTGGACTCAGTAGACATGGATACTATTTCCGGCTCTGCCACTGGCCTGCTGAGTGACCTTGGGCAGCTCACTTCACCTTCAGGAGTCCCAGTTTCCCCGTCTGTCAATGGGGATATTGATACTGACTTCCTTTGTAGAGCACTGTGAGATCTGATGCAAAGAACTAGGTAAGAGTTAGGTGTTAGGAGTAGTACTGACTTCAAAGGAAATTGCTGCTGCTCAGCAGGCACTGGATCCTGGAGGGTGCTGATTGGCCTTAATTTCCACTGGCTTCAATTAGAGTTGAGGGTGCTCAGCATCATGCAGGATTGAACCACCAGCGAGCAGCTCATTTCATGATTTAGCTGCAGATGAGAAACACAGCTGTACAGGAGATTCAGGGGATGTCTACACTGAAAGTAGGCACCTGTGACTGGTCCGTGCCAGCTGGCTCGGACAAAGGGGCTGTTTAATTCCGATGTAGAGGTTTGGGCTTAGGCTGGAGCTCAGGCTCTAGGATTCTGCGAGGTGGGTATTTCAGGTATCAACCTCCTGTGGGAGTTAGATCACAAGGCACATGCAGGTTGAATGGCCGGACTGTATTATGTCTTGCTAACACTGCAACTTGTTTCCCTTGCCCCCACCGCCACCGCGGAGTTCTCTCATGACTGTCCTGAAATGCCTTTATACTGAACTGAAAAAATGCCAGTTGGCGTTGCATAGGGTGCTGCTGTCATTATTCGGCTGTCTGATGGAGAGCACAGGACGGAAGTCTCCATTGTGCTGTAGCATGCTAAACTGCCACACTGTCAGCTGAATTAATCTCTTAAAGTGTGGACTTACTCTAACAGTGACTGTAATAATGGCACCTTCTTACTCAACGGAACTGGTCCTTGTGTGTTCAGCATTTTACATGCTGACTGGAGAGACAACATTCGTTGTTTCAGATAATTGTTCACATCAGCTCATTCCTTCTCATTTGCCCTCTCCTCTGTCCAGCTATGTAACTAATCACCCCATTTATTATCTTCTCCTGCTCTGGTCTTTGCACCTCATTCAGTGCAGCTCCCCATGTCTGGGATTCTCTTCCTGGCCCCGTTCATTATGCCTCTAAATCCCAGAACAAATCTCAAGATTTGACTGTAAAAGGAACATGTAACCCTATAATAACCTACCAAAGGAACCTCTGGGTTTTATTGCTGCAACTCTTGTCCTTCCCCCTGCCTTCCAATGTCTGCTACAGTAGAACCTCAGAGTTCTGAACACCTGAGTTACAAACTGACTGGTCAACAACACAACTCCTTTGGAACTGGAAGTATGCAATCAGGAAGCAGCAGAGATTTAAAAAAAAAAAAGCAAATACAGCACAGTGCTGTGTTAAACATAAACTACTTTAAAAAAAAAGGGAAAGCAGCATTTTTCTTCTGCATAGTAAAGTTTCAAAGCTGTATTAAGTCAATGTTCAGTTGTAAACTTTTGAAAGAACCACCATAATGTTTTGTTCAGAGTTATGCACATTTCAGAGTTACAGTCTCCATTCCTGAGGTGTTTGTTACTCTGAGGTTCTACTGTATCTGTTTTCCTTATGTCTTACAGTTACCTATGGTAAATAGTACAACACCTATTGACTTCAGAGGGAGCAGGATAGACCTCAGACTATATACTTCAGGACAAGAACAATGACCTTTACTTCCTGGAGGTCTTCGTGCCTTGAACATTGTTGATAAGAACACTCTGGCTTGGCTTAACTGGATTGCATATGCCAAATTAATAGGACAAGAACATTTCTGAAACAAAAGTTTCCTTTTTGGTTTGAAAAAACTTTTTATTTTGAAACTTTAGTTAAATTAGTTTAGTTAAAGAAGGTTTTTGTTCCTGTTTTTTAATTGTTGAAATAAAAACAGAACATTTTGAAATTATTGAAACAAAACATTTTGATTGACCTGATCTGAATTTTTTTTCCAGATTATCCGTTTGTAAACAAGTTTGAGATTTTGTCTTCTTGTCCCAATTTGTGATGGAAAAACATCTTGAAATCTCTAAAATTCTCATGGGACAGGAAACTATTTCCTGCCTAGCTCCAATTGAAACAACTATTTACTTTTGAAAATCTTGGCATTAATAAATACTATTATTAATAACGACAGTTCAGCTCTACTTGAGGAACATGTATGCTCACTGTTAATAAATGAATGAGTTCTACTGATTTTATCCTTCAGAATTAATACAATTCTTGCAAAACTATAAAAAAAGATAAATTTGCTTGTCTACAAATTACCTGTCTGGAGATTTTTACTGCCTCATGATATTAACATCCTTATGGGTAAAATCTATGCAAAATGACCTTTACTATAAAGCACTAAATTCAGCTGCTAACTGCCAATGGGAAGAATGGATTAAAAAAGCATAAATATGGATGTGATCATTTTCAATACAGCAAAATATCATTACGTTTATGCAAGGTCCTATGAAACATTTGAACGTTTTCTTTTTAATTAGTTACATTTCCATTTAAATGGTTAGTTTTGATGACCCAACAGGGGATTTACTTTCAAGCATGTGCCTTCTTAATTTGCCTAATTCAGTATAAATATGTTGAAGGCAGGAGCTGATTCTGTGAAGCACAGCACTTTGCAAGGTAATGTCTTTTTAATTTTTTAAAACATGGCAAATTCCCAATATTTCTCAATTATTTAATTATTTTTCTATAAAGGACCAGCCTTCACCTGGTACTGCAAAAATATAATCATCATTGTTTCATTGCTTTAGATTAAAGTACAGTTCTGCAAAACAACTCTACATGGCATTATGGGGATCCCTATTTGTATCAAAAATTCCATTGCAAATGTTCTCAGTTTACAAGTAACTAAGCTGCTGTTTTCTAACTGCCAGCCCTGCAGATTCACACTGGGATGATCAATTCAAGAAGGTTCTTTTCTGGCTCATGCTTCATCACCAGCAATAAAGATTCCACAGGATAAATTGTGCCATCATTTGCATCTGTATGACCCTAATGCCTTAAAACAGTGCCTCTCAATCTTTCCAAACTCCTGTACCCCTTTCAGGAGTCTGATTTGTCTTGCGTACCGCCAAGTTTCACCTCACTTAAACTACCTGCTTACAAAATCAGACATAAAAATACAAAAGGGTCACAGCACACTATTACTGAAAAATTGCTTACTGTCTCATTTTAACCATATAATAATACAATAAATTGACTGGAGTATAATTTTATTTTTTATATTTCAGTGTATAGTATATAGAGCAGTATAAACAAGTCATCGTTGGTACGAAATTGTAGTTTGTACTGGCCCCACTAGTGCTTTTAATGTAGCCTGTTGTAAAACTAGGCAAATATCTAGATGAGCTGATGTACCCCTGGAAAGACCTCTGAGTAACCCAGGGGTACATGGATCCCTGGTTGAGAACCACTGTCTTAAAATAATGCCCGGGTTTGAACAGGTGCAACCCTAGTGTCTTCATTGAGCTTGTAAAGCTGTAAGTGTGGGCAAAATCTGGCCCTGCAATTGAAATTGCATTGGCAATTTTATAGGTGATCCATGATTCAGAAGAGAATCCATCTCATTCTCCCAGAACCGCTCTGGCTAACAGGAGTAAAGAGCAGTAAAAAACAAATTATTTTTCATACAAAATGAGCTGGGAAATTTTGTAACTGAAATGGAACTGCTTTCATCCTTTGTACAGAGCCTTGCACCATAACTTTATGGAAAAATGTCATATTTGATCATCTGAGATGACAAATAGAAATACTAAACCAACAAGAGAGTATTATAATAATGTAAATCAAGAAACTCACCTTTCAGCTACTTTGGACATTTTTAAACAGTGTCTGTCTATCTGCACATTCAGAAAGGTTATCTGGGGAAAGAGATGACGGTTAAAAGAGATTAACAACCCAGCAGATCTAGAGCCAGGGGTGCTGGAGAGGCCAGAGGGGCAATGCCCTCTCTCCCCCTTTTTAACATGAGCATAGTCGGGTAGGTGCGGAGAGATGGTGGCAGGGGCAGCGCTTCACAGCAGGGGAGCTCATAAGGTGATCAGCTCCCTGGTCACAAAGGGCAGCCCCTGCTACCGATGTCAACCTCTTCCTGGTAGGGGGGGCTGAGATGGGCCTTAGCCCTGCCTTGCCACAGGGCCCAGCCCCTTGCTCCTCCTATTTCCCCCAGAAGTTGGAGCCGGGCCGTGGTAAGAGCCCTCCAGAGAGCCACTGTTGGGAGCCCCAGACCCACCACCTGCCCAGGGTGGCATGCCCCGGGGGGGCTGTTCTCAGGCATCCTGGCCAGGGGGCAGGGCCTTGAGGGAAGAGGGGGAGCAGAGGGGATAGGGCCACAGTTGTGGCACCAGTGCCTCCTCCACTTCTATACAGGTTCCAGCGCTCCTTTCTGATTGTGTCACAATGCAGTCTTGGCTTTGCATTTCAACATCAGTTTGCAAGGAATAACCATGTGTTCTCTTCCGGGTGTCAGAGAACACAACAGTAAGACAGGTTTACTTGTGCTGGAACAGGGACATGTAAGTTGCCCCTCCCTGCCTGCATTCGTTGGGTTGGCTGTGCGCTGGAGAGATTCTGATCATAACGGCATTACCCCTTAATATTCAGCTCTTGCTACACATTGGTGGTATGGTGCCTGCCTTTCCCTTGGGGGTTCTACTACAGAAAACAGCTTTTATTCCTACTGAAAGTTCCCTGGAAGCCCTGCCTATGGAAGCAGTACTGAATGAGCAGAACCTCCAGCTGCTTTGGATAATCCTCCTCCCTTATCAATACTGCCCACTTTTTGAGTATCCCTGGTGACCTGAAGGAGAGGCAAAACTATGGCCAGAGACGGTACAACACATATACAATTCTTTATAAATTTGGTTTAGTTTTTGGCTGTGGGTTGCTTTCAAACTCATCCTGATTTTTGTTGAATGCATTCATTCTTTGAAAGTATTTGCCAAATATTCTGGAAAATAATTTTCAGACCGTGGGTTGTTCACAAACTGTTTGTGTTGCCTATTTGCTACTCATGGCATGTTGTTGGTCACCAAAGTCACATGGAATTGCATGTGCTCCCTGATTGGATGACTGGAACATTTTTGAAAGGTATAATTACTTAAAATAAACCTGCACAGAAAAAAATTTAACATTTTATGGGAAATGCTGTCTGTGGGCATGTAAGGTGAGTGGAATTTTGGACTTGAGAGCCACTCTGTTAATTTGAAAAGAGAATATGGCATGTAGCATTCATCTCAATGTATCTGCATGTCCCTTTTCATATTTAGCTTTTGATACATTCTACTTTGTTCAAAGCATGCCAACATCACCTTACATTTCCATCATTTTGCACCAAGAAACATCAAGCATCTTTCTGGCTTTATTGATATTTCAATAAAAATATAAACATCTTTTTGAAAATAATGTACTCGGTTCTTGGAGGAGTTGTTCTAAGATGGTCTACTTACTTTTTTTCGGAAGTCCTCTTTTGTAGTTTTTCGTATGGGTTGGGAGGGCATATGTACAGGGCTTTGGGATTGAGAATCTTCTGTAACCCCATATACTGACTGAAACAAATAACAGGAAAAATTACAGAGCTTTATTGTTACATATGTAAGGAAATTCTGTGCACGAAAACAGCCAAGTAAGGAGCCAGCAACTGTCTACTGTTACCTTTTCAAAGATCAATAACTCTTAAATCTGGAACAAAGTTAATAACTGAGGTTGTATATACAAATACCCGAGTGGTGAATAGCTGTAGCTGTGATAATTGAATATTGTGATTTCTCTCTGAGGAGCTCAACTGAGAACAAATGCAAATCTCAGCCTGATAATCAGAGGTACATGAGAGGGTTTGTCTTCTGATTCCCTAGCTTTGTATGTTAGTTGCAAAACTGAAACTTCTACATTTTATGAAACTAATATTTTTGATGAAAGCTTCATCTCTGCTAATATGCATCTTTTGACACTTACTTCAAAATTTCTCAATATCTGTTTGCTTATTATAAATTACCTAATTTTCAGTCAATCAAACCCTTTATTTCTTATGCTGAAGCACTTTATCTAGATATAAAATAACTGATTTTTGCTCTACTCTACGAGTGTATTGCATTTCCCCAATAAATGGAGACATTTATATTTGAGAAGTGATAGTTTGGTTATTATGCATTTTTTAGGGTACACAGACTTCAGGGAAACGGCCTTGTGCATGAAGTTACGCATGTGTGTTTATGTTTGTAGGGATCAGTAACTGAGATGGGGGGCAGGAAAAGATAGGGGTGGAAATCCAATTCTATCTCAATTGCCTCCTAAACATGATACTAAACAACTTTAAGAGAACTTAGGGAAATAACTTTTAATCCTGAGGCTTTGATACACTGAAAAAAGGGTTAATTTGGTGTCAATGAGCCAAGTTTTCCACAAACCTTAAAAAAACAATAGCAACAACAAAACAGAAAAACACCATCAAATCACTGGTAGTGCATTTATTTGTCAGGTATTGAAGGCAATAGCAGGCATCTTTTTGTTCAATTAATTATTTTTTTCTTTATTTGACATTTGTATGAAACATTGAAAGGTTATGATGTCATTTAATAGCCAGCATATTGACATGTTTGGGACCATCATGCTGATATCCAACAGTTCATTTATGTTGCCTATATTTGTTAAAATGGGAGCTCCGTGGTCACGAAATTAAAATGACGAGTATCCCAGGCAAAAGAAAAAATAATCAGGTCTTAATTCGAAAAGAGTGCTGTCTAGTGGCTACAGCAGGGGTCTGGGAGTCAGAACTCCCTAGTGCTGTTCTCAACTCTGCCAAGACTTGGTCTGGTACCTGTCCATTTGTAAAATGAACATAATAAACTTACTTACAAATGTGGAGGCTTAATTAATATTTGTAAATTACTTTGAAATTCTCATTTGAAAGATGCAATATACTGTTGGTGTAAAACATAGTTGTTATTGTTCTGAAAAAAAAACAACAAAAACCCTGACCTTTTTGACCTTCTGTGGGTTTTTCATACGGCGACACTTTCTGATGTCCATTTCTGTTGTGTTCACGCAGCCTGGCTAAGAAAGGGACATTCATAATATTACCATTGATGTTAACAATGTACATACCACCTCCTCCCACTGGAAAGCAATAATAAAAAAAAAGAGTTTTTATCCTTTGCTTGCAGCATAAATATTGTTACAAAAATACATAATAGGATCTTTTTCAAGATGCTTTCTTTAAGGTGTGTATTATAAATCATATTAGTTAATCAGTAACTGCAAATGTTAATTAAGTTGAATCTCAGCATCCAATTCATTTGCTCATAACTTCAGCACACAACTTCCTTTCAGGCTGAAATTACTTGGTCTCCGCTCGAAGCTGAGTTTTTCTAGAAAACTTGAACAGAACGGGTTTAACTGCTTTTGAATTCTACTTATGAAAAAAAAAAGAACCTTTACACTTACACTTTATGGTCAAATCAAAAATGTTGTGCATGCACAAATCTAAAACTTTTGAAACAATTTTGTTCAAACTTGGCTTGTTCTGAAGATCTCCTAATGGACAATTGAAATGTGAAGAAAATCTGTTCAGCAGTTTTAAAGCTAACCTCTCCTTGCAGCGTATCCAACATCGCTAGGTTTGCTAAGTAGCATAATTTAAAGAGAGACTTACCACTGGCCTATGTACATCCCAAAATGCTCTTTCCTGGCTGTCCAAAATTTTCCTTTCAGTTTTATCCTTTTTTCTGTCAATTCTGGGAAAATAAAAAAATGAAACAATCCACAACTTCACTTTTCTGACTTGCTCCCAGTTTCCCCCTGGATTTGTGGACCTGATTGACAGCAATTCTAGTACTCCTGTTCTAGTGACACATTTTCCATACAGAAATGTCAGATTCCAGATGCCAAGTGATTTGTGGGGTCATTCCACCAGCCTGATGAAAGGGATTTTTTGTTTTTAGTGAGAGAACTTTTTTGTTAACATCTGCTCTGCACCTGGCAGCGAATAGCCTTTTTGACACCAGATTTCCCAGTCCCAGTCAAGCAGAGCACTTAAATTGGTGCTTAACTTTAAACATGTGAGGAGCACAACTTATACCTTCAAGTCAGTGGCACTGCTATGGGTACCCGCATGGCCCCACAGTATGCCAACATTTTTATGGCTGACTTAGAACAACGCTTCCTCAGCTCTCGTCCCCTAGTGCCCCTCCTCTACTTGCGCTACATTGATGACATCTTCATCATATGGACCCACGGAAAGGAGGCCCTTGAAGAATTCCACCTGGACTTCAACAATTTCCACCCCACCATCAACCTCAGCCTGGACCAGTTCACACAAGAGATCCACTTCCTGGACACTACAGTGCAAATAAGTGATGGTCACATAACCACCACCCTATACCGGAAACCTACTGACCGCTATATGTACCTACATGCCTCCAGCTTCCATCCAAGAGACATCACATGATCCATTGTCTACAGCCAAACCCTAAGATACAACCAAATTTGCTCCAACCCCTCAGACAGAGACCAACACCTACAAGATCTTTATCAAGCATTCGTAAAACTACAATACCCACCTGGGGAAGTGAGGAAACAGATTGACAGAGCAAGACGGGTACCCAGAAATCACCTACTACAGGACAGGCCCAACAAGGACAATAACAGAACACCACTGCCCATCACATACAGCCCCAGCTAAAACCTCTCCAGCGCACTATCCACGATCTACAACTGTCATAACTATAAAGGGAAGGG